GTTGAAACAGCGGTGGGTGGCGGGGCCGGATCCGCGGCGGGCGGGCGGCGGGGCGGCGTGGAAACAGCGGCGGGGGACGGGGCGACGCCGGATCTGATGCGGGCGGCGGACGGGGTGTGGAGGCGGCGGTGGGGCGACGGTGGACGGGCGGGAGGTCGCGGGCGGGCAGGCGGCGGCTGGTTTTGGACCAGATGCATCTCGTGATGTATATTTGCATCACGAGGTGTTGTATTTTAGATCACGAGGAGGCCGCGGTTCAATTTTTTTTTACATATGGACCGTATGTTGAAGCTGTATTTTTGGCCTCAGACGATTTAAAAGTTAGTTATTTTTATATTTGGACCATCTATTAAAGATGCTCTGAAGCTAAAATCGGTTAGTTTATGGGCAACCTTATTACAGACACACTTACAAAAACTGAAGTCAAAAGAGTCGAAAATTGCGAAGCATAAACTACGGGTCTCCCGAAGGAGGACCCCAATTAGCGATCGGTCGTGGTCACCCGACTTAAGCGCTTCACCGGTACCTGAGAATCGGACTCGAACTGCACCCTGTGAAACCCCATTTCAGCATTAGCCTCGACATTCTCGATGCACGCCATAGCCTTCTCATGTAGTGGTCCTGTCAAGTGATCCAACTTCCCTGCACTGGCTGCCACAAACTCGCCTTGATCCGAATGGACAACCCATCACATGCTCTCGAGCCAATATTCTCAAAATAAGTCGCATCAAAGTTAATCTTCACAACATCCACAGAAGGTTTCTGCCATCTCATCTTCCCAGTGTTCACTGCCATCCCCGTCTGCTCTTTAGGAACACCAGAAAACTCCCGGACGTGTTGAGGAACTGTGAAACTAATATCATCAGCAGTCCTGGGCCGGCCACCAGCATTGATCGTATTTCTATTCGACCACCACTCCCACAACAAGACTAGTGCCACATCCCTGTTAGCATTCTCAAGACTCCAAAGACTCGGACACTCTGACAGAACCAGTCTGGTCTCTTCCAGGTCCAGGGTCCTCCACACGTGCTTCACGTATTTACATGACATTTGAAAAACAAATGGCCGCCGTCCTCGTTGAGTCGGTTGCAAACTGGGCACCGCATATCAAGCTCGACTCTCTTCCTCTTGATGTTCATGCGTAGCGGGAGACTATTGTGAACAAAACGTCATAGGAAGATGTAGACCTTCTCAGGCATAGATATGTTCCACAACTTGTTCCGGTGCCCGTTACTTTGTTCATTGACATTAGAAGAGCTAGCATCTCGTCCCATCCTTTCATCACGCAACTCCACACCCCTATGATATGCAGCTTTAACTGAAAACTTGCCTTTTGGATCAAAGTACCAGGAAATTTGGTCCTCCATCTCTGCTCTCACAAGAATGGACAGAGCGTCCTTCACATCCACTTCACAAAACAGGTCACGTAACAGTTCCTCGTCCCAACCCTCAGTTACCGGGTCGATCAGATCGGACACACGGGTGATCACTGCATTTCCTCACTGCGAAATTGGTCGTCTTGTTGTTCCCCTTGGGATCCACGGATCTTCCTAAATATTTATGTGTTCACCTGAACCCACATGCCAACTAATTCCCTCTTCCAGCAATGCAATGCGTTTCAAAATGCTCCTTGTCGGAGTAATGGGCCACGGGTAGGCCAACCCAGGCCCAGAACCTTTCAAGACATCGGGGCAGGCTGCACCCCTCAAGACCCCAGGACGAAGAGCTGCCTTCTGAGAGTCGGCTGCGAGGCAGCCGACTGCCCACTCGCGGCCGAGTCCCGAGAACGACTTCAGGATGAGCCGACTCCTGACTGGCGACTTCCAGAGAAGCCGGCTATGGGGAGTCGGCCCGCGACGCTAACAACCCCCATGCCCTCATAAAAGAGGGACGGGACGGGGAGTGGCCACAGTAAGGTCCACTCCCACCCTTTTCCAAGGGCAGGCGTGGCCACAGTACGCCGTATCCGCGGAGATCTCCGTCGGCGCGACACTGTTGCCATGCTGGCCCTGACGTCAGCCCCAAAGGGCGGAGTCCTGTGCCCACGACGGCCTGCCGGTACGACCCAGGGACGACGGGTCCCACCAGTCGGCGGACGTACGGAAGGCGGCGAGAGCGCCACCAGTCGGCCCAGTTGGGAGTCGGCCCTCAGGAGTCGGTCGGCCCCTCCCACGGGCCCCACGCGCCATTAACCAGACGCGACAGGGAGTGGCCACAGTGATCGCCCGCCACCGGCGGAGCTGTCGCCACGACCCCACGACCGAGCCCGCGCCATTAAAGGCACGGCTACAGTAATCTACAGCCGGCAAGACCCGCCCGCGGCGGACGCGGCCTGTCGGCCCAGTCGGGGGGCCCCAGGAGTCGGCGGATAAGACGGCGGCCAGAGAGACTGACGGCTGAGCCCGCGTCCAGCCGGATTACCATTGTACCCCTGGGGGTAGGCCTATATAAACCCCCCAGAGCATCCATGCAAAGGGTTGGAATCCATTAGCACTAGACCAGATCATATAGGAAGGCGAGAGCTAGCCTTGCCTTCTCCTACCTCCAGGAAACAGCTCAAGGAGCAACCATGTACACACTTTGCCATAGTGATCATGCGAAGACCCCGCAGAGCAGTAGTAGGGGTATTATCTCCACGGAGAGCCCCGAAGCTGGGTAAGATTCGCCGGCGTGCATACCTTCGCTTTATCCCATTTCCAGGCACTGGCGACGTTCTACTCGCCCCCACCATGATAAGCCATCCTTTGGCATATGTCGCACCCAACCCCCGACATTTGGCGCCCACCGTGGGGCCTGGTGCACCGTCGTCCTTCACATCCACTTCACAAAACAGGTCACGTAACAGTTCCTGGTCCCAACTCTCAGTTACCGGGTCGGTCAGATCAGACACACGGGTGATCACTGCATTGCCTCACTCCGAAATTGGTCGTCTTGTTGTTCCTCTTGGGATCCACGGATCTTCCTAAATATTTATGTGTTCATCTGAACCCACATGCCAACTAATTCCCTCTTCCAGCAATGCAATGCGTTTCAAAATGCTCCTTGTCGGAGTAATGGGTCACGGGTAGGCCAACCCAGGCCCAGAACCTTTCAAGACATCGGGGCAGGCTGCACTCCTCAAGACCCCAGAATGAAGAGCCGCCTTCTAAGAGTCGGCTGCGAGGCAGCCGACTGCCCACTCGCGGCTGAGTCCCGAGGACGACTTCAGGATGAGCCGACTCCTGACTGGCGACTTCCAGAGAAGCCGACCATGAGGAGTCGGCCCGCGACGCCAACAACCCCCATGCCCTCATAAAGAGGGACGGGACGTGGAGTGGCCACAGTAAGGCCCACTCCCACCCTTTTCCAAGGGCAGGCGTGGCCACAGTACGCCATACCCATGGAGATCTCCGCCCGGCGCGACACTGTTGCCATGCCGGTCCTGACGTCAGCCTCGGAGGGCGGAGTCCTGTGCCCACGACGGCCTGCCGGTACGACCCAGGGACGACGGGTCCCACCAGTCGACGGACGTACGGAAGGCGGCGAGAGCGCCACCAGTCGGCCCAGTTGGGAGTCGGCCCCCGGGAGTCGGCCGGCCCCTCCCATGGGCCCCACGCGCCATTAACCAGACGCGACAGGGAGTGGCCACAGTGATCGCCCGCCATCGGCGGAGCTGTCGCCACGACCCCATGACCGAGCCCGCGTCATTAGAGGCACAGCTACAGTAATCTACAGCCGGTAAGACCCGCCCGCGACGGACGCGGCCTGTCGGCTCCGTACCGAGCCAGTCGGCGGGGCCCACCAGTCGACGGGCCCCAGGAGTCGGCGGATAAGACGGCGGCTAGAGAGACTGACGGCTGGGCCCGCGTCCAGCCGGATTACCAT